AATTGCTCTATAACATAGCATGATAGCCAAATTTTGCTCCTTTGGATTAGATAGTACAAGAGATGGAAACATTTACATGTCTCGATTTTGGACAATTGTTTGTCATAGAAACTGCTGCAGTCTCATCTATATGGATCTCTTTGTTTATTTCCACAACGCGGTAAATGGTAGTTCAATGCTATGAAAACATGTTGGAGCCATTTCGTATTGAAGTCGTCATTTTGGGTGGGTAGGCGATACTTTTTCTGCTATAAGGACGGAATTATACGTTAAATTAACCGCGGTACCTCACCCAAAATTGGATCGCCATGAATTGGTCGGCGCAAGGGAAAACCGGGAGCGGGAACATCATCATATCAGGGTTTTTGTGGTGTGGGTAGCTTAATTAGAGGCTCTTCCTATATGCCTCCAGACCGGATGCGTCTCCAGCTCAATTTCGGAGAATCTGAACGGCACTAGTTTCCTCAGATATGCAACTATTAAGCTATTAATTGATTATTTCTATCCAATTTAATTTCCTTTTTCTTCTCAGAATATTCGACAAATTGATATTTTTAACAGAAGGTCTTCAATAATTGAAGTACTATATCTTCTACCAAAGGTTTCAGAAGACAAATAACCATTATGGGTTAGAGTTTTCTCATGAATACTTTGCTAAACGTGAACTAAACGTAAAGATAATTTACGGTCGGAAAGAACATGGTGGTGGTGGTGACATTTCTGAGATTGAGGGGGGATCCGCATCATTGTAGCTTTAAAAGCGGTCTCCCGGAATGAATTTAACCATTGGCAACTAACATTAAGGTGTTCTAAGCTTTTTCTACGAACAACAGAAATTTTTATGGGATAATTTCAGAAACCTCCCTGAGGTTTCTCATAATATTACTCAGTTTCTCTTGAGATTTTAAAATTTCGCTTACCTCCTTTGGATTGACATTTCTTGTAATATTTTAACTCCTTGGGAAGAAAAATAAAAAAGATAAAACTTTTGTTCCAATACTAATCTTATGTCATTCTACTTATGAAATTTATAACAATAATAAAAAAATTAAATTAAATTAAATTTCTTGACAGAAATTATTTATTTTTGTTGTTTATTTTTGTTGTATTGAAACAAAATCAAAATTTACATCTTGAAAAATTCACATATATAAAGAGATTATTTTAGTTTTTAATATAACTTAAATTACACCACGAATTAAAACATAATTCCTCAAAATATATTTTGACTTCTTTAATTGTAATTTAGCTATGCACGAAATTTTTTAAGATATTAATTACTCATCAAAATCCTCCTAAGTGGTTGACTTTGATTACATCTAATTTATCTACGTCCTTTGTTAGTCCATCACAACTCTAATATAAAGAAATATGGATCATTATTAGCTAATAATTAATTTTTTTAATTTACATTTTTTGGTTTTAAGATTTTATTTTGGTTTGGCTTTAAGCTTAAATAGTTATTAAAAGTAAGGGTAATGTTGTCAATTTGTGACATTTGATAGGAATATTTAGTCTTATCAAGTTGATAAGGGAGGTAAATGAGATTTTAAAAACTTTAAGAGAGCTGAGTGATATTATGACAAACCAATTGCAGCAATTTTTAAACAAGCAGCATGACGGCTTAATGAGGAACTAACATATGGCATGGGAATGTCGAAACAGAATCTGGGGTTTTTTTTTTTTTTTTTTGTTATTTAAATTGAAAAACGACCAAAACAATGCACAAATAAGCTAATTGCCGCCCTTCATCTAAAACCTGGAACCAGGAACCGACTAATCACCTGACAAATGCTTGGCCAGGATTTACCGCTAGAATCAGCTCTGAACTGAAGGACGCAACTGGTAGACGCAGATTCCTGAGAATGGCTAACCTTTCCTTCCAGGAAAGAACCTCCTTCTCATCTTCCCAATCTGCTCGAGGGTCAACCCAAAAGCTTTCTCCAATAGCTCATCATTGATTCCGGAACCAAAAATGGTAGATGGGATTTTCTGCACTCCTGGATTTTGGCTGTTGAAACTTGCAAAGACGGTAGCAGTGGACTCGCCAACATTCATTTGGAAATGAACTAGACCCCTTGGGAACACCATCACTTCACCTTGCTCAATCACCTTGGCAAAAACTCGGTTCGTCGAATCCACAAAACCAGAATAAACCTTTCCTTGCACCACGAATGCAATTTCCGTCGCTCTGGGATGAAAATGTGGAGCATTGATGCCACCAACCTGGAGGTCTGCCCGTACAAATGACATTCCTAGGGTGTTAAGCCCCGGAAAAGTGGCGGGGTTGACCGATTTTGCCGAGAGGCCAGTTTCCGAGAAGTTTCCAGGGGCTTTTACACCCGAAAACACGAAATCATCAGGGGTAACCTCCGTTGAATTTTTGCACTGCGCTCTGGCATTATTGGAGCCACCTTTTGCATTGGGTATGCAAAAATCTTGCACGGGGTCAGGATCCCAGGCCAATGCCACGAGATGAGAGTGGAGGCAGAAAATTAGTGGAAGCAAGAGCTCCAGTCTTGGAAACATCTTCCACTCAGGCTATTTGGCTGCAATTATCAACTACTATCAAGGTAGCACTAGGGCAAAATATATACTTGAAAGAAAAGAACACGGTGATACTACTATATAAATATTGGCCAGGATAATCAGGAATTTCCAACTTATATAAATTGCTAGGATTTTTCGCGTGGTACGGTCATTTGTCTAGCTTGAGTAGGGCTATAGTACTGGTACTGCTGTAGGGCATCAACCTCTACTTTTGGCGACTTTTCTGGAGTGCCTCTCAAACAGCTTTTAATCGAATGGAGGGATGTGAGTGCGATGTGATATACACTAAGCAAAGCGTCGACGTGATTATAGCTAATAATTATTTTCTTGACTCTGTTAGGTGCAGGGATGGGTGGCTATGATGCTGAAAATATGATTGCAAATATCTTCAACACTGTGACACATGCAAGCAATCTCTATGAAAATGAGACCCGTTTAAATTTTTTTTTTTTTTTTTTTGCTTTTTAAAGTAAGAAACTAATGCGTACTGGATGCATATTCTTTTCCTTGTGAATAAAGAAAAAAAAAAAAGAGTTGCAAGTAATGCGTAAGTGATCTGTTCCAAGTTACTAGGTCTGTTGGATTGATCAGGGACCAGTTACTACTCCGAATTCTGTCATTTTGCTGGTGCTCAAGAGAGTGACACACACTGTTGAAAGTTGAAGCCGGGAGAACAGAACAAAGCAAAATGGATCCGTCGCGAGTTCCAGTTGGCTTCCTCTTTCGACGGGAAAGAAGAAAAGTGAAACTAGGAATAGAACAGGGTTGGTTTTGTGTAGAGTTTGTAAACTTGTTCACTGAAAAATTCTTTGTTTTCTTTGCCAAGGGATCGATGTATGACAACAACCAACGTCAAGCTCTCGTAACCTGCCACGAACGCTTGTAAAAAAAATAATTATGTTTTAGGACTTTGCACCTTATTATTAGACCTTTTTTTTTTTTTTTGGCTCGAGGCTTGAAATTCGATCACTCTTCTTCACCAAAATGACTCGTATCATAGGATGGGCCACGCATTGAGTCCATCACATGCGATCTGGTTGGTTCACATACTGACGGCCCAATTGGCCTGACAGGTCCATAACACACAATAAGAACGTCGAAGAAGAAGAATTAAAAATAATGAAACAGAACCACAATCAGCAGTTAAGCAGAGTGAACAGCACGCACTGGACAAGTAATCAGTTTGTATGCTTTTCTGTTTAAGAAAAATAAAATACTAGTGTAATATTTTGAGTAGTTCATGCAGGTGGGGGAGAGAAGGAAGGAGACACGTGTAAACATGTGGGGAGAGAGGATGACGCAGAAGAGCTGTGGGGAGGACACATGGGCGAGGACGTGTCAAGGAGGGCAGGCATTTTCAAGTTTCCTTACATGACAATTAGGCCGCAGTTGGAATTTGTGTTATGTTAAATCCGGGACAAGTTTAATACAGTACTACTATTCAGTTTTGACCGCAGGAGCTATCTGTTGTGGGGTCCCCCAACCAAGCAATGGAACTGTGGAATAAGTAGCAGTAAAAAAAAAAAAAAAAAAAATTTTCCTGTTTTTGGAGGAGAAAGATGAGGAACCCGAAATTTGACAATGCTGTCGCGACGTAAGAGCCCTTGAAGGCTAAAGAAAGAAAGCAGCAAAGGCAACTAAGCTAATTGCGGACCGCTGTCCAAAAAGGCAAAAACACACTACTGCTCACTGTTTCAACTCTTCCCTCTTCCTTTCCCGAGCCCCCTCAGATCACCTCAACAGACTTGATTAGCTAAAGGAGCAATTTAGCTAGGCAGAATGACGGTTCTCCTTGATTAGCTAAAGGAGGTCAGAATCATGCAAACATGATTTTTTTTTTTTTTTTATAAATTTTATTACACATCAACTTCTGTTCCATCTCTGTAACATTATTGTTTGAAGCTAATTTTGCAGATTTTATCTCAATCAAGAAATCAAAGGTAATTATTTGCTTTCTTTTTGGTAGCCTATAATCCATATGCATGGAACTGATTTTCGATATACATAGCTGCTCTCTTTTTTTCTCTCTCTCTCTCTCTCTTTAATAGCTGTTTTTTTTTTCTTTTGGGGTGGGGTGGGGTGGGGTGGTGGGGGTGAAAGATGGTTTTTCCTTGCGAGTTGAGAACCCTTGTCACTTCTGGGGTATTCCTTAGTATCTTCCCGACCTGAGATTGAGTTGATGATTACAGCTCTGATTTTGATTGGTGGGCTGATGACTTATCTAGAAGCCGTTTTGCTTATTACCACCTTTAGCACTCCCTTTTTCTTTCTGGTATAATAACATGTGTGTTTGAAACCAATACAAAATTCTTCATGCTGTCAGTTTCGTCTTTTAACTAAAACGACCAAACACAAGTGTTTATATTGGCTTTCCTCGAATTCTTAACAATTGTTTCTTCTTCTTCTTCTTTTTGTTTTGTTTTGTTTTGTTTTTGTGTGTGTGTGTGTGGGAAGAGGGGGTTGGGTTGGAGTCAGGAGGCTCACTTAAGTATTGGCATGTGGTGATATAAATATCTCAGGTTAAGTAAATTAGCTGACTGAAACACTTTTCAAAGGCTAGTTGCTTGAGGATCATTCCATTTTGGGAAAATCAACTCTGATAGATCATAGACCAGCAGTCATTTCATGGGGTCACATTTGAACATGACATATCCTCTTACTTCCTGCTCGTGATTTAGTTCAATTAACGGCTCATTGCGTCTCCAATGATGGTCAATTCAATATCAGTCGATCGTGCTCGTGTTGTTGTTTTGACAATCACGAATACGACAAAATAACCTGAGATGCCGTACTGGTCCGATGTATATCCATGGCCATGTCATCCACTGCACCTGGACGCTAGGAAACTTGGATTGCGTACTTGGGTGAGTCACGAATCTCGTATGGACTGTCCCTCTTTTCCCGTACGTCCAATGGGTGATGAATTCAGTCTTCTTCCAAAGATGAAATGGAGATGGAGTGAACGTGAATTTGACAGTTTTCTATCTCAATTTTGCAGGCAAAATCCCATACATGTCAGCTAACAGTTTAAGACTGCAACCACAGTTTTTGGAACGCATAAGAAAAAAAAAATTATCATTAGGGTCCCCGAAGCCAGTAGCTTTCTTCGTTCTAGGTAGTTGGCGGTTAACCGTCTGCTGACTTCATTAGTTTCTTTTTGATCCCTTATCGTCGCAGACCGAAGGGAAATAACGAAAAAGAAAAAGGGAGACTACGGAATTTATGATTGCCGTACTGCTCCAAGACTATAGATTACTTTTTTCTTTTATATTGTGCGGGGGGGGGGGGGGGGGAATGGGGTGGGGCGTGGTGTAAGGCTCTTTATATTATATTACTACTGTTATGCATCCTGTTCCTGACATCTGAAATTCTGTCACCTTGCTGTACACATAAATATTTCCAGGTATTGTACATATTTGTTCGATTCCATACTCGATCCCTTAAGGTTTGATTCCAAGTGAATAGAAAAGAACATCCGTTTCATGTCTGATTGATGTCCTTGGATATTTCATTCTTTACGTTTACTTTCTTCGTAGATCCAGATGAATTCTGTTTGGTATATGTAGTTTGATCACATAGCGAAACTAATTTATATTGGCAATTGAGTAAATCCATTTTGTTTCATTTGCAGTCATATACTTGCAGCTTATAAAACCCCAAGTCGGGAATTAGAAGAAAAGGCATACTCAGGTGGAATCGGCTTATAGACCAGCCGGAGAACGAGGAACAGAGAACTCCCAAGTCAAATTCTGATACCAAGATTTTTGGGAATAAAAATGGTTGTGACAGATTCAGAAATGACATCTCATGGTAATAAGGTTGAGTCTCCTCCATTACAGTCAGAACAGCAGCAGCCCAAGAATCATGCATTCGCATCCCTTGGCAGTCAGTCGTCCATCTATTCGCTTACTCTGGATGAGTTTCAAAACACCCTTTGCGAGAGTGGAAAGAATTTTGGGTCGATGAATATGGACGAGTTCTTGAATAGCATCTGGACAGCTGAGGAAAATCAAGCTCAAGTCACTAGTGCGATGGTAGTTGCAGCAGCAAATACCAACCCCAATCCTAAGCAATTGTCCCAGCTGGGTGAAGCCAACGATGCGCCGATAGATCAGAAGGGCATCATCACCAGGCAACTAAGCCTCCCAAGGCAAGGCTCTCTCACACTTCCGGGACCTTTATCGCGGAAAACAGTCGAGGAGGTGTGGACGGAGATTCACGAGTCTCAACAAGAACATGAGCCCCCGACTAATTGCACCAATCCGCAAAATACGGGCTCTTCTCAGCAGCGGCAGATCACATTTGGGGAAATGACTCTGGAAGACTTTCTAGTCAGAGCAGGGGTGGTACGAGAACAGACTCAGCCACCGCCTTCGCCGTTGCCTCAGCAGCCGCAACAGCCCTACGGTGGTACTTTCTACCAAAATAACAATACTAATGTAATGGGAACTGGCTTTGTGACGAGGCCTGTCATTGGTGGCCCTGGTGGCAGTGCTAACGTTGTGGGCTACCAGCCGATGCCACAAACGGGGGATGCATCTGCCGCGTATCCCGGGAGCATGAAGAGGGGCGGAGGTTATGCGGCCCAGCCAACAGCGGCCTGTTTTGGCGGCAGAATGGGAAATGGAGGGAGTGGAGGCGGATACGGGCAAGTGCAGGGATTAGGAATGGGTTCACCTGTGAGTCCAGTGTCATCCGAGGGGTTGTGCGCCAATCCGATGGATGGTGCAAACCCATACGGGATGGACGTGGGCGGAATGATAGGCAGCGGAGCAGGCGGAGGAAGGAAACGTATCATCGACGGTCCAATAGAGAAGGTGGTGGAAAGGAGGCAGCGGAGGATGATAAAGAATAGGGAATCGGCCGCAAGATCAAGAGCTAGAAAGCAGGCATATACCGTGGAACTGGAGGCTGAATTGAACCAGCTGAAGGAAGAGAATGGTCATCTAAAGCAGGCTTTGGCCGAGCTTGAGAGAAAAAGAAGGCAGCAGGTAAATCCCACTCAATTTGTCCTCCTCTTCGTGTACATGTACGTCCCGACAACCGTTTTGAAAATGTTATAGTAGATGCTAGTGGAGTACAAGTTCTTTGCAGATGCTTGGCTTGGTTTCTTCATCGTACGCACAACCACCGAAAGGAGTCCGTCAAATAATAATAATCTGGTTATGCTTCTTGAACGCGAGAATGGATATTGAATAACCTCAAAAAAAAGTATCTTTGCTAATGCCGCCTTTATCTTTCTGCAGCTGATTCTTCTTTTATGCTACATCTTTCTTATACAGACTAGTGTTAGCCATATAAAAAAAGCTAGTAGTATAGCATGCGTAAAACATCTGATTTTTCTTGTTTTTTTTTTTGGGGGGGGCGGCGAGCAGCAGGTTGAAGAGTCCAAGATGAAAGCTCAGACGAGGACGCAGCGAAACAACGATAGATTGATGAGAACCATCAGGAGGACCACCAGTTCTCCTTTCTGAACTCAGAAACAAAAGCGGCGTGGACCCGCAGCCGCTGATATAATGTGCAGCTCAGAAGCCATCATAAGTTAAGCCGGGCCGCGTTGTCTTAATATTCAATTAATGCCTAGTATTTCGATGATAATTCGTGATTAGGCTGCCTTCTTTTTTTTCATATATTTATATATATATTTCTCTCTTCCCCTGACCGGTTTTACTTCTTGGTACCAGAAAATTGTTTGAGATTTTATACATATGCTTACTCTTGAATTTGTTTGTGTGGAATTCTTCTTCTGTAGTTTGTCGGCTGTAAATAATAAATATGATTGAATTAAATTTTGTTTGAGGTCGTGTGTAAATTGTAATAACAATCATCTGTCGTATTTCTCGTTTTTATCCCCGTAGTCGGAGTTTGCATATCCAAAGCTAAGCTGAGGAAATTTCGGGAATATGGATATCGTCAAGCAAATGTGACTGGTCATAAATAATTAATAACCAGTATTTGAGCACGAGATATCGATATTGGTCTGTTGTGTTAATTTGTCACCAACATGTTTTATGGCATGAATCAGTCATAAGAGAGATATTCATAATATTATTGCATGCTTATTTTTTTTGTAAAAAAAAATTAAACGTTTAATCTATTGTGCCCGTGTTGAAAATAATTTATACTACAATTAATGGATTATACGGCGATAAAATTCATCAATACGAAAAAATTAAGTTACACATATTATTTCATATAGTAATAAAATTTTTACAACCTAAATTATGCATTCATTTCCAATCAAGTAGAAATGATGCAAATTCCATTTTTCTCACAAAAAGGATATTTAATCTTTATCGAAATTAATAATTCAGCAGTGTAACAATTAAAGCTAAACCAATCAAGTTACTCTATAAAAGTTTTCAGAAGAAAAATAAGCCATAAGAAGAATTGATTTGAGGAGAGTTAAGTACAAAATGAGTAAAGCATAAGTATCAGAATGATTTATTAGTTTTTTTTCAATTAAGCATGCCATCTAATTTTATGATTCCCCTCACTATTTGTACATAGAAAGACATATATTAGACTATTAGAGGATGCTTTTTCTTTACTTTTTTTTTTTTCTAATGAATTTTATTTACTCGATTCGACTTTTCTCACATGTCCAAACACATGAATTATACACAATGTGAATTTATTTGATAGTTTGAGTGTACAAGTATTCTTAGGGTACTATAGATAATAGAATTTCTATCTTGGGGGCTTCTTATACATAATTTTATTTAGTGTAGAATTTTATACGGTTGCATCACCTATAATTATTGCAAATAATAAATCACAACTTGTAGCTATTTTTTTTTTTTTTAAATGAAATTTTGCAGGGATAACCTAAATCCATACCACTGCAATATAAATTCACGTCTTTTTAAAAATTAAGAATTGATGGCTTACAACATGAGCATTGTTAACTTATGCTATTAGTATTAATAAATGTTATACCATTAATTAATGGCCACTGGGTCTTGCAGTCTACTCGCGTGGTACTTGTCGTAATTAAGAACAAAGGCATTCCATTTGGATAAGTTGGGTTTAAGATTCAAGCCCAAATTTCTGCCCTCTACTGACCCAGGAGCCCAACTTTCTTTCCCAAAAAAAATACGCACACACACACACACACTCGTTGGAGACTAACTTTGTTTCGCAAAGCCCAATTGAAGTCGGAACACAGTTTGAACCCAGTAAGGAATTCATTCATGCATTTCTATTTGAAACGAGCAAGAATTTACTGCTTGGTCCCTGACATTATCTCGAACACCTCAATAATATTTGATCCACATTCCACAGCTTTTGTTTAAAGAAGTTGTTGAGAGCAAACCTTGGCAACAAAGCTTTCGCCTCATTTCCCTTCTAAAATACATCTTTCTCGTCTCCTTTAGGAAATGTTTGCATTGAAGCACAAAGAATGACCTCTAGACTCGTCAATTAATGAAATCAGCATCTGCTATTCTGCCATCCTTTTTTTTTTTTTTCTTTTTGATAATAGCATCTGCTATCTTTCGCAGCATGAATTTGCCAGCATTTATAATATTGTTTTCCTCTAGATTAAGAGACGCTAGGCAGCAACATCACCTAGACTAGACAAAGCAATGATTGATTGATATAATATCAGACCATTTGATAATAAACAATGTCCCAAATGTGTTGAGTATTTGATTAACAACAGAGCATTCGAAGAAGTTAACCAGTTTAACAAGCTATTTTCCTTATTTTCAGTGTGCAAAGCAGAGCTCCCCACAACCATATGATCGACAAAATGACACAGTAATGGCCCCTCAAGCGCAAAAATCCCAAGCATGAGTGCTAGCTAGGGTGGTCAAAAAGCATTTCTCAAACAGACATAGCGTAACACTGATGTGAACATGGATGGATGGTGCACGAGATAAATGGCTAATAGAAATTCATGGCCTTTGATCTCCAGATATTAGCTGACTATGCAAGCAGACAGATTCGACTGCCAGGACTACGAGGATAAGATGCTGTAAAAGGCATTTGAAGCAGCATCTTTCAAGTTGCTTGGAAAGGTTATATTCTAGAACCCTCAATTATGGATGGCTTCTTTTACCTGTCCATGTTTTAATTTTCTCACAAGCAAGACAAGAAGCGAAAAAGTTTGAAGAACAAATCATTATTATAAGACAGCAACATGTGCCCAACTTTCGAATCCCATGACCAGAAAAAAGCTAGATACTAAATGGAACTTCTACCATCAGTTTCTGTTTCTGATTCTCACATGTAATCTAAAATCCATTCAGGAACCCCCCCCCCCCCCCCTAACAAGAAGGTTTTTAAGTTGAAAGGGGCGAAAGTCTCAAACAAAACAAGTGTAATCCAGAGCAGCCAGAATCTGAGAGTGGGGATCGGCAGTTATATCTCAATCTCAATTACTACCATTTTTGGAGAACGCGCCTAATGTAATCGAACGAGACTCTCCTTGTAACTAGAAACTTGCAAACAGTAGCAGTTAATCCGAGGTCCAAGATGCCTGATTTCCTTTGTATCAGGATTCAGCAAGGCTAGCTGCATGATCCCTGTTTCTATGAAAATGAACCCAGTCTTCCAAGACCCGAGAGCCCTCCTGATGTTTAGAAGAGGTCCAATGCTGACTTTTTTAATCCAAGACCCTTCCGCCTCCATAACCCATACATCGACACTCGTTTCAGTACCGCGATTGTAAGCAAACGTAGCTAGTGAATCATTATACAAGGCGAGATTCCCCTGCATTGATTTGAACGTATCCGGAGTCCTGATTTCTCGAAAGATCTCATTTCTCACATCAAAGGCGAAGACTCTACAGCTGCTAATACCCCCCCAGTAATAGAATCCATTCAAGTATGTGTTAGTATAAGATTTCACCACGCGCAGGCTTGAAAATGTGTAATCTCTAAACTGCCTCCAGGAGTGAGAACTCAAGGTGTACACTGAAACAAGAGGGACATACCATACCTGCAAATCATCATCCCAGTAATCTCGTACACAGACCACCTTAAAGTCGTTAGTTGAGGGGTCTTTCCCAAATCCGAAAACATGGGAATACAGAGTCCGTGACGGAGAGGACAGAGGTAAGGAGGAGACTACTAATGGTGGGAGAAGCTTAACCTCTCTTGTAGCTGGATTCCAGAGTAGCATCAGGGAGTGATCGTTGTAGATGAAAACTAAACCGTCCACCGGGCCGAGCACGGTCGAGACGGTTGAGAAGGATGTCGGTGTAGGTATATGATCTTGGTATTCCAGGGATGTGCCAGCCAGGTATTCATCCGGGAACAAAGAAAGCGCAGAAGCTCCACCGTGTACATGATAGCAGTGGACTAAGAGATTTTCTTGGTTTTTGTGATGGCGGAGATGCTTAGCAACAAAAGTAGGACTTTGAATGAGACTGCACCAATACTTGCAGACGGCCTTAAATCGTAACAGTGATTTTACAGGAAGCTTTGAGAAAATCTCCATTACAACATCTGCAGGCAATTCAAGAAAAGTCGTACCTTCATTCATTGCAGCCTTCCAAACTTTTGAAGCCTGGGATCGTTTTATGCGAGGGAAAAAAATTAGAGCAGGATAAAGATCAACGCTCTCAAATTGTTGCAGGAATCAAATTTCCTATCCATCAGTTTTAAAGCAAGGTGATGCAAAGTGCAAACGACACAGGCCTTTTTAATTTTAATTTTTTTTGTTTTTGGGGGGCATAGACAAGGACATACGATGATGACAAGAAGACAAGTGAGAAAGATGACCGCTTAAATGGTTAATGAAATATATGCATATAAAAACCATTTTGCTACTTGCATACGGCAAATGGAACAAACTTCATTGGCAAGACGTGGGAAAACTTCTGTGTGATGATTACTCAAGAGAAAATATTCCACGGGTAGCGGCTCAAACTAGTTTCTGGGTGCCAAAGAGACGCAAATGTGTGTTACCAGGCCTCGTTTTTCAAATAGACAATGACGTGTTACTAGGCCTCTTTCGCAAATTTACAAAAGAAGAAGATCATTGAATACTAGTTTTAAAACTAATTTGTCATATTTAATTTAATTTCAAAAGTTATTTTTGAAAATAAAAACCGTTTATAATCACTTGTTTTACTCGCATACAAAATTTAAAATCAAACTAACTACATTCGATTGATTAATTAAAGGGTCAATTACATGAGTAAATCTTATATACACTGACATTGTATACATTATCATCGTTTGATTCATGACATGTGTGTAAAAGTTGAATTTTAAATTCAAATTTTGCATAGTTAACATTCATCCAATCCTGACAGTGTATAGTGTAGGGAAGATTAATCGTAATTATATTTACTTCCACTGTGGTTCGGCCAACTTATCAAACGGACCTGAGATTTGACCAAATTACAGATTCCCCCCTTTCCCAACAATGTCCGTTAAATTTGACTAACGAAATAGCCCCTCGGGGTCAGCTCAGCCGGTGAACCCATGGGGTATTCCTCATGGTGGCACAGGTTCGAATCTGGCTTCACATATCGCCTGGGTGCTCTTGGGGGCGGGGTACACAGGTGTAGAGGAATTAGTCGGGCCCCTTACGCATTGACCCGGACACCCTCTGTGTTGACAAAAAAAAAAAAAAAAATTGACTAACGAAATGTGTAACTTGACAAAAAAGCTAGACTGACAAATGACTTGTAAATCTAAAAAAATATATAATAAAAGAAAAAGATGCATTTATGCGATTCCCGCCATACCCTTTGAGGCACGGAAAACCAAAAGCCAAATCCCTTTTTTTAATCTCCTCAAAAGCACGATCTCAAATCCACTGCCCAGCAAAATCACATATTAAAA